CGTTGGAGACAAGAATTGGAACAAAAGAAACCTTCGCAGCAACAAGTAGCTTCTTCGAGTACGACCGTTGGTGTTTCCAAAGATTTGTTCAATAAAGGATACTACGGCGGTGATGACGATCTCCAACCTTTAGATCATTCAAACGAACTTGATTCTGCCCTTTCAGTTTCCAATGGAGCCGATGGTGGATCCAGTAAAAATGCAGCATTAGAACTTTATATTAAGGGAGTTACGAAAGAACGAGAGGGAAATTTAAGCGAAGGTTTTTATTAAGTTCATTGTTATAATGATATTTTAATCGATGTTAACTTTCTGCTCACCAAGATGACCATATATTTAAAGCATTAAAAAGCTATCGTCAAGCTTTGAAACTTGACCCTAGCGTGGAGCATACTTACCGAAAGCACTTTCATAATGCTGTCAGTGAGGAAAATTCCGAAGATTTTGTTGCTTCCAGATTCATGGTTCAACATTTAGAAGAAGAACTTCGTTTGATGGAATATAGTAAAAGTTCGTCAGTATCTCAAAAATATGAAGGAGGAGGTCAAAAGAATGACAAAGAATTAGCTCACACGGGAACACATAAACCTGACATCAATCCTCCAGAGAATTACCGTGTCGAAGCGGCCACTTCGTCACAACACGACAAAGACGCTGATCAAATTGTGGCTTTGCTTAATTCTTTTCGCAATATGAAACTCGTCTATGAACCGTTGAACCCAGATCGACCCGTACATATCGCAAAACTACCAAACGAACTGGTAATACATATACTTAAACAATTGATTATAACGGGGGATGTGAATTCTTTAGAGAAATTTGGAATTGTTTGCAAGAAATTCTGGATATTATCGAGGGAAGTTTCTCTGTGGAAATTTTTGTGTCAAAAAGCTTATCGGGACCTGAATCTATCATTCGGAACATCGAATTTGTTACAAGGAGAGTATATAAAATTATACAACAATGATTGGAGAAGAATGTACATAGAAAGGTACAGAAATTTTATCCACAGAGATTGAAAATTTCATTTGTAAACTACAACGCATTCGTGTGTTCTCATTGCAATCTCTTAAAGACCTCGAATCCGATTTGATGGTATTTACATATCGACATGCCATTACCTAAGGTATTACATCACAGCAGACAACCGTTGCACGTGTACAAAATCGTAATTACACCTCCATAATGCATACACATTTAAAATATTTCAGACCCGGATCAACGGAAAACGTTTGGAATCAGCCGATACACTTAGTAACATACTATCGGTATATTCGATTCTACTCGGATGGTATGTGCATTACGTTGTTAACGACTTCCGAACCGACATCCGTAGTCAGGAATTTTTCGCCCGAATACAAATCAAAGGGGTTTATGAATGGGAAATGGGTATTAGAAGGGGATATCTTAAAAATCTCGGCAGTGGATCAAGATCTGCCGAGATTTCAATTTTTTTTGAATTTTCAGTTGAGATCGACCTCAAGAGGGAAGAATAACAAATTGACATGGATCTGTACGTCATCTTATTCTTGCATTTCTTGTTTTCAATACGTGCTCTTTTGGAAGGGTAAATTGTGTGCGTTCAGATTGACAAAAAATTATTTCCAATAGCCTACTACAGTATCACGGATTCTACTGACGAACGAAGTGAAATAAGTTTAAGAAACGAAAAAAATTATATATTCAGCAAGGTACGGAATCGTGGGATTTTGTAATTCATATATTTAGGTCTATCTGTCATCTGATCACTCTTCATCTTTGATGACTTAGGTAAAAAGTTATGTTATTATATGGTAGCACTGTGAAGTGTAGTGGGGCCCAATTGTTGTTATAGTTTACTCTCGATAATAAACGAATTTATTTAAGCGAAACATGAATATCATGAATGCCTTTTAAATATTTTTTGTGGCATTCGTCTTTGTAATAAAAATGCCGTAGAATAATTTTTATTCAAGCTAAATAAAAGATTAAGTACATATACAGTACATGTATAATATAATACATGTATATACTGTAGACAGTATCTTTGTCGAATCAATTGATGAAATACCAGATAAATATTAACATTAATGCTCAGATTTTTTGAAGTAAAAAATGATTGGGGTGATGCATTTTTAGTTGAAATTAGAATTCTTCATAAGGCCTGACTGTACATTTGATAAAGACATACACTAACTTGAAACAAAACAAAATAGAAAAAGTTAAATAATCAAGGTCTAGAACAATAAATAAGTTGGAACAAAAATTATTATTATTAAAAACGGAGGGGTTTTTTTGGTAAGACTTAAAATTTTATGAATATCAATATTCCTATAAACTAATTCCTTTTGCTTTTAAAGTTTTTATTGCATCTGGATGATTATTGAGAGCCGCCAGTCTCAAATAGTTCATCCCCAAATCCTGATCCTTTGGACAAAGTAATTTTCCATTAAAATACATATCACCCAGGTTATATTGAGCCGCAACATTTCCACCGTCTGCAGCTTTCGTGAGATATTCTTTGAATTCGTTAAACACCTTTTTGGTAAACTTGATACCTGGCGTATTTGTCAGAGAGAATGCGTAACGCAATTGCGCATCAGGAATTCCATCATCCGCTGCCTCTTTGTACAATTGATT